GGCCGCCGCGGGCGTGGAGGGGACCCTCGTCCGCGCCGCGCCGTGCCTGCTGACCGGCTCCTTCCCTTCGCGTCCCGCCCGTGCGCGGCAGAGCCTTTGTCCAGCCCCCTGGAATCGGGCAGCGAGGCTTATTGATTCCCCGCGCTCTCGGGCTGGAAGCGACAACACAGCGAGGCCTGTGCGTCTGGATCGCGTGCTGGGAAAACTTTCGCTGGCTTTGTCATCGGTCGCTCGGCGGAGCGCTCCTGGATAAACAGGAACTCTGTGTCGGGGCCGCGGGAGCGGGCGGGACTAGGCGCGCCGCGGGTCAGCACGGGCCGGGGACCCCAGCATTCTAGGGGTGTGTGTGGGACCCAGCATTCTAGGGGGGTGTGTGTGAGAGAGAGAGAAAACTCGTTTCCCGAGTAGTGCACGTGGGAGTCAGCCTGGGAGGCACACACCGCGCGATCAAAGTTGTCCGTGGACCTTATCAGGAGGGTGCCCAGTGTGAGCTTCCCGGTGCATCGAGCACAGGAGGTTTTCCTTCACCTTTGAAACTTGTTTTCTGACTGTCTGCAGATAAAGTCCTTAGGCTATCCTTAGCGGCTGTGTTGCACAGCAAGCATGTTGGAAAGGCTGGAGTCGGGACCGCGGCAAGATGCCTGCCCGAGGAGCCTCCGAGGAGGAAGCCTCGCCGAGGCGCAGTGTGCGTGGCTCCTCTCGGGCTCGCGTGGCTCCTCTCGGGCTCGCTCTGTGCTCACCCAGTGAATTGTGGCAGGCGGGATTGCAGGCGTAGTCAGTTGCAGCTTTCTCTCTCTCGGCCTGCGTGGTGGTAATTGGACTTGCTAAGAGTGCGGTCCTCTTTGAATCCCCTGTCTTTTCAGAGCGGCACTACGGGGGCTTGAAAGGGACTGTTTATTGTCCTACAGATTTTCTCGCTAAGGATTTGGTGCAGGAATGTCTTACATGTTTTTGTCCGCGGTCTGGCTTGTGCAGTACCCATCTATGTGTTAGATATGTGTGACAGTGGTTAACTTTTTACCAAATTCTCTTGTAAATGGAGGCCAAAGACAGTTTTTACTTTTGTCTGTTTTGGTATTCTTACTTTTATGGAAACATCACTCAAAAGCCCAGGAGTGATGCCCACTTCCTCTAAAGGTAATTTTTGGTTGTCTTTGAAAGGACACCAAAAAGGAAGTGCATTATTTCAGTTAGGAAAATAAGGAAGTGGCACTGATTTCACATTAAGTGGCCATAGAAAATGGTTTTAAGCCCTTGTGCAGGAGAAAATCTTAAGCAAGTCTAGGAATCTGAAATTCTGAATCCCAACATTTTCTTTTTCTTTTTTTTTTTTTGAGTTGGAGTCTCACTCTGTCACCCAGGCTGGAGGGCAGTGGCATGCCCTCAGCCACTGCAGCCTTAACCTACTGTGCTCAGGCGATCCTTCTGCCTCAGCCTTCTAAGTAGCCGGAACTACAGGTTTGTGTGTTACCATGCCCAGCTAATTTTTTGATGTGTTGTAGAGACGAGGGCTCACCAAGTTGCCCAGGCTGGTCTCAAGCCCCTGGGCTCAGGCAATTCTTTTCTTTTCTTTTTTTTGAGTTGGAGTCTCACTCTGTTGCCCAGACTGGAGTGCAG